CTCTTCGTAATACAAACAATTTGTTTGTAATACAAATGCTCCAAATCATTTGTACGTTACGAAGAGCAGTTGTTCGTAAGGAACTTACAGTGCCTCGCGCGGCTGCTGTCAAAATGTTTTGGGTAGTAAAACTAAGGATTAGATCGTTTTTAAATAGTTAAATAAATAATTAGAATGCAGTCGGATCCGATTCGAATAAATTATGACATTGTTCAACGAAATATTCATAATTTTTAGGAAGTTTGCTCGGAAGTTTGCAAGTTTGCTTGTTTAAAAGAAACAATGCAGGATTGAAGTTATACGGAGTAATGTATTTTACAAAGGGAGAAAAATTGTAAGTTTTCGGAAACAATTTCCAACTGTTGCTGTCAGGACGGGCTGCTGAATTGTCCCAGCCACTGCTACTGCAACAACAGCAGTGGCGGCGGCGGTTGCTTATTCCGGTTGCTGAAAGGGGGGAGGTAATAAGCCAGCCTGACCAGGCAGCGCCAGGCAGGTAACGGGACACTCCTCGACGACTTCCTGGGCAAGCGAGTTGGTCCCGGCGGGCCCGGGGCCCGGGCCGGGCCCAGAGGCGGTCTCCGGTGCGGCCAACTAGTCTCTCCTGTCTGTTCGCCCCGCCCCGCCGCCACCGCTCACCTTTCTCGACTAGACAGAATGGCCCCTCCGGTCCTAGTGCGTTCCCTGGTCAGCGTTTTCGCGTACCCCTTGCCCCCTTGCCGGACATCAGAGCCATACCTTTGCTCCGACTCCACCCACGGGCGGGGATTTGACCCGAAAGAGAGGAGGAAAAAACAGGGAACGTTAACCGCAAAGGGTCGGTCTTTAACAAAAACTCTGTGGGGTTTTACAGTTGCAGGTAGCCAGACCAGGGAGCTGTGCTGACTTGCGTGTCCACGAATGACGTACGCCGTACGCCTCAATATTCCCTCATGCAGCTTTTTCAAAATGGTTCCATGAAAAATAGATGCTATATGAAAAAAGGGAACCGCCACGAACCGAACGGGTGGTGTTATTGGTATTATTTCGATGTCGAATGATGTTAGGTTAAGTGAAGGGGGGTTAGGGTACGTGGTAGCACCACACCTTTAGCTGTTTGCCAACGGGCTTTCAAACGAGTCACCCCGAACGACTCCCCCTTCTGACACCCTGTGCCTCGTGTTCTTTCAGATGGTCGCCGTACGCCTCGGTCACTGCTGGCTCGTGGTCCTCGCCGCCTGCATGCTGGCCCTGTGCTGGCTCGCTGCGGAGACGAGCGCGCAGCCCGCCGGCGAGAAGGAGCGGATACTAAACGAGCTTGACGTGAGTATGGGAAAATTAAATGACTGCGGAACACCACTGAAAACTCTGCGCACGCCAAGTCCAAGATGTGTTGCATTTCCTGCAAGCTCCAACATTCGCCTCTAGACGAGAGTGTGCAAATTAACAGTCAACTTGCACCTTGCGTACTATTTGGCATTTGGCACCAAAAAATGTATTTGCCATCCCAAACGTGCCACATGCTCACAGTAGCCTCAGGGTATATTTATTTTTATTTTTTTTTCTTGGTGAGGCGGTCTGGTAGTGGGCTTGGAACGGTCCGGGAGCGGTCTTGGAGCCGTCTGGGAGCGGACTCGGAGCGAATCGGGAGCGCCGCCGGGCCGCCAGGCAACCCGCATGCGGCCGCACGAGCCGGCTGCCTACCCGAGCCTCCGCGGGCGCGCCGAGGGAGAGAGCTGTCTCGCTAACGGAGCGGCGCGGCGGCACACAGGCCCCACAGGTTGCCGTCCCCCGAAGGGGCCCCAGTCATGGGCCCCGCCGAGGGGAGGGGGGGAGGCGTCGCTTGTTGCTTAAGCGGCGGTGGCACACTTGTGGTTTTGCGAGGGGGGCGGAGGAAAGGGGGGGGGGCACCCGGCAGCTCTGGGTTTGGCGAGGAGGAACCCGCGCGCGACGATCCTGAAAGAAATGAAAGTCTCTCGCACGTTCCGCACGGCCAGCCCCACCGTGGCTTGCCATGCGCCTTACCCCGTGTCCCCGGAGAGCCTGGGTGAGCGTGGGCCACGCCTAGCACGGGAGAGCAGGTCTCCTTGCGGCACGCGGCACGGCCCTTGCAACCTCCTCTTAAATAATTTGTATCAAATGGCAATTTCACAGTCGTTGTTTATAAGGCCGCATATACTTGTTGAACGCGTCGCGCTAAAATACCACACGACGCCGCAAATCTCTCTGTACTATGGGGCCATCCATAAAGTACGTCCGGTGTCGAAGGGGGGGGAGGGGGTCACCGAAAACGGACGGTGATGGACAAGAGGGGGGGGGGCTAAAAGGTAGCCCGGACGTCCGATTTTAACTGTACGAAAACCGAGCAATTAGGCAAAATTAGGCGAAAATTGTGCTGTTTTATCGATTTTCTTGACATTGTTTTCTCCCATTGTGCCAGTAGACCCGCGATACTATGATTCCCCCTTCAAAAACATATTGTTTGTCATCACATAAAAGAAACGAATGCTGTGAATTTGGGGTGGCTCAGGTACAAATGGACGTCCAAAAGGGGCGGGGGGCTCCGATAACGGACAGCGGCGGACAGGGGGGTAGGTGGGTGTTTTGGGGGCGAAAAACAGCGGACGTACTTTATGGATGATCCCTATGTAAGGTACAGTGTTTTAAGAAAAACGGTAAAAGATTCGAGTTTAAACTGCGACGTCCGTTGAGATGGTGACGCGTTTTCCTTCGACGGTCGAAAAGAGAAGCGAGCCAAGAACAAGGTCTATATTCGTAATTAGTGAGGTAATTTTATCATGTTTCGCCTAGTGGACGTGAGGACCTAAGGTGTATGTGTGCCGACGTGAGCGCGGCTGGGAAACCCGAGTGGAACATGTTTGTCTTTTTCTCTCGCCGCGGCACCTTCAAAGAATTTTTGTAATTAATGCCGCTCATTCTCGGCGAGCCTCGACCTCACACACACGCACACCCTTCGCAACCCCAGCGAAAGAAAATTAAATGATGAAAAAGGATGCGCGCTGCAAAAAAAGCCGGCGGGGGTTTAGAAAAAATATATGTTCGAGACTGAGCCGTCATACCGGCAGGCAGGAAGGGCCGGCCGAGGGAAAAAAAGGAGGGGGGAGAAAGCAGCCTCGACCTGACACTGCTGTCCTTGCCCTACTGGCTGCACGCCCCCCCCCCCCCCAAATCCTCGCCGGCGGCGGCACTGTGAGCAGGGTAAGACCCCTTTCCCCGCAGATTGGCGCTGCTGAG